ATCGTAAAACAAAACTGAACTCGGAGAAACAGAATAACTTTGGTGGTTGACATAGGTGGGGGATGGGGATGTGTGGGAAAGGGTGAAGGTGGTCAAAAAGTGCAAACTTCCAGTTGTAAGAGAAATAAGTCCTGTGAATATAACACACAGCTTGGTGACTGCAGTTAACAATAATAGATTATATATGTGAGAATTGCTAAGAAAATAGATCTTAAAAGTTCTCATCACAAGAAAAAATTATAAATATGTGAGATAATGGATGCTATCTAAACTTATTGTGGTAATCAGTTCAAAATATATACATATATCAAATCATTATGTTGTATACCTTAAACTTACCACCATGTTACATATGTCAATTGTATATCAATAAAACTGGAAAATTAATAAAGTTGATAAATATCGGCTCTTGAGGGAAATTGTATGCATCTTTGCCATCTTGTTATGTTGGCTCAGAGCCAGGTAGTGATTAAATGTGTTTGGTTGGTATTTGGCCTGAACCATGGACACAGAGCAGGTGGTAAACACAAGTCAGGAATGAGGGTGAAAATCATGTACTTTGGGAGCCTTGGTGTCAATTTGGGAAACAATTTAAGGAAAGAAATGGTCTGAATTCATTTTCTACTAATTATCTACTAATTTTCTACCTAATGTATCATATGATGAAATAGATTTTGATAGGTATATTTTATTTGAAATTTAGCATTTGAATACTGTAAAGGCCTATTTGGGTATTTGAACCACAGTAATGAGAAATGGGAATCTCTAATCAATAAAATAAGTTGAAACCTGGATAGGAGATTCATAAGTGATTATATGTCTTATTTTACTTCAGATTGAGTCTCTCGGCAAAAATCTGTGAGAAAACAGTTCTGAAGCGAGTTTTGAAAGAGCTGTGGAAGCTAGTTCTAAACACAATAGAAAAACAGATTGTTCTCCCTGCTCTGACAGATCAAACAGTAAGTGTTTAAACTAAGTTTGATTTTACTTTCAATAACCCATCTAATTGATTTCTGTTTTAGTGAGTGAATTTGATCCAGATGAAGTATTAATTAAACCCATTTTGAGAAAAAGTGTTTGGTATAAAATGTCTTAATAATGATCGTTCAAATAACATTATTCTATGCAAATCAATTTTACATAATGGGAGTAGCAATTACACTTCAACTCTTGAAAAAAATGTAGCAAAGTTAAACTTATAGGGTTATCTGGTCTACCCACATAATTTTTAAAATATTACTGTGAACCTCCAAAGAATGTGATTTAGGCTAGAACATTCCCACTGTGTTTCTTTCTGAAACCTCACTCTTTAGGGAGATAAATTCAGCACTACCATATGGGATTTTTTTTTCATCTGTACATTTTGCTTTCATCTATTATCTTCCCCCGTGGAGGTTAATAGAGGAGACATCTTTTAGAGGATTTGAAGCACATAATTGTATCATACACAGTAAAATGGAAAAAGAACCAGAAAGGTCGATTGGCAGCAAAGTTAGACCATGGCCAAATGGATACACAGTGCTAGGATTCTCAATTCCTAGATCCTGAGCCAAGTAAGTTAAAAAATAATCCTAACAAGCACCCATTATAGAGTAATTTTCTTTCTTTTTTCTGTGAGGAAGACAAGCCGATGAAAATAATGTGTAATTTAAACTAAAATCTGTGTTGAGCCCTTAATTATGCACACTCAGTCCATATTTATCCAATGAAATTATATAGAAAATATTTCCATGTAAAGTGTTTCAAGATGCAAAGATACATACGTTTTTATTGATTTACTGCCAACAATGGGTGATAAAATATTAATTAATTTAAGTTTTGTTTCATGCCATTAATGTGTGGTATCATCTTTTGTACATATGAGTAGCCAAATCACATGTAAACACCCACTCCCCACACACACACAAACACACACACACACCCCCACACACCACACCCCCACACAGACCCTGCTCTGCTACAATATGTAAGGCATTTCTAAAACACCAGTTAGTGATCACGTAATTGGCTTATATAGAATTTTCCTAGGTGAGAGGCTTTGGAATATAATAGAACTATAAACTTCAGAAAAAGAAAAAAAAAGGTCTAAGCTTGGTTATTACATAGGCAAGTGTCCTTTCATCCCCAATTAAAAAAAAAATTATTTTGTCTGGCTGGCATGATTCAGTGGTTCAGCATCGACTTATGAACCAGGAGATCAGGGTTCGATTCCCAGTGTATGGCGTGCAGGGGGCAGTCAATCAATGATTCTGGTCATTGATGTTTCTATCTCTCTCTCCCTCTCCCTTCCTCTCTGAAATCAATAAAAATATTTTTTAAATAATAATTTCAAGTCGGGGGGAGAGTCTATATGTCCATAAGCCTTCGATCCAGAAAGATGCACCTTTCATGACCCACACAGGGCAGGCTACGCCCCTCCCCCCCCCGCCCCTGCTTCTATGGGTATTGTCTCAGCCCATAACTGTACTCTCTTGTTTTGTTGTTCTTTGCTTGGGGTATGTTTTTGAATTTTTAATATTCCTTGAAGCAGCCACTAGCCTCAATGAGCAACCTGCATGCTACCTCCCAAAAAAGCATTTATTGTTTTTGACAGTTATTTGTTAACAAAATTACATAAGCTTCAGCAATGCTGCCCACTGCTATTTCCCCATGAGCCCTACTGTTTCTAGTGCACAATTCTGTAGAGTATGAGAAGACATAAATTATGACATAACAAAAATACTATCGACGACATTTCAGTTTTGATATAGACCTTCCCTGTGAAAGCTGACCATAACAATTTTCTCTAGCATTGAGATCTCTCAGTATGAAGCTATATCGCTTATTGATTCATTCCATATGTTCTTTGAGGTTCTACTACAGTACACTAGGTACTGTGCTGGGTGCTGGAGATAAAATAAGGCAAAATAAATCAGTTGCTGTGTTCATGAACTTTGTCATTTCCAATTTCCTAAAGAATATACAGGCTCCACTAAAAAAAAAAAAAATGGAGATTTGTTACTCCAGAATGATTGTTTTTCTTACAGTGAAAATATTCTAGACTACCAATGAACTTAGTCAAAGTTATTACTTTTCTTGTCACATTTACCAATAGATATTCCTCTAACTATTTATTCTAGTAGTGTGGTGGGTGGCTTATTCCAGTATTTTATTTCCAGGATGTTAGGCTTCTAGGAAGAGGCTACAGCTGAGGGAGGGCTTGGGAGGGCAGGTCTCTGAGGATTGGCACAGCATCTCAGGAGTAGCGGCTCATCTTCCTCAGCTCTGTATCTTAAAATTTTGCAGACTTATTTTGGGAAGGAATGGAATAAAGGAGTTGCCTCATTTGAAGGTAAATTAATGAAATGTAAAGATCACTGATTGAATCCACATGCTAAACTATGGAAGCAACAATCCATTCAGTGACCGAGACTCACAGCCTGCAGAAGTGGGGTACCTGTGAGGACAATTATAAGCTAGCAGTACTGGATATCGTTGACCCAATCTGTAAAATAGACCTACTAAGGGCATCTGGCATAAAAGTCACCAATAATATAAGGAAATAAAGCAAATTCTCTATTGACCACATTTCTAATGCAACTATTACTAAAGCTTTTAAGACTAAATCTTCCCTCTCTTTTTTTTTAATGTGTATCTCTAGGGACCCCAGATGATTTTCATCACTGCTAAAGATCTTGGACAATTATCGAAACTAAAGGTAATAAGAATTCATAAAATTACTGGTTGTCTGTGAAAAGGTATGAGCTAACTGCAGCTCTGCAAGAAACCACCGTCCTACCGGTTATGGCATCTATCATGGCAGGACTAAACATGTGTGTCTGGGATCTCACAGTCGCTTGAAGGAGGAATCAGGTCAAATTTAGGGACTGAATTTTGCTTTTTTTCCCTTCCCACCATGTTGCTCACATTTTCCAATTAGTAAGGCAACTACTAATTGACTTTGTATTGTAGCAGCATTACTGCTTTTGGAATAAGTTAGAGAACATACTTCCTTTCATATATTAGAATGGCTTTATGTGAATAAATGCAAATTGCAATGTGTCATGGAAATCCAATAAAGTCTAGCGGTCTTATAGGCAAAAGGTCTAATTGGGAAAATGAAACTCCTCAAAGCAGATATTAAATTTTTAACATATTAAACACCATTATAAATGAGAATTTGCTGACTAAGTAACCCTGCCTTTTATTATCTCTTGAGATCCCTAATACTTTGCAGCTATGATAGGAACTGACTAGTCAGGATAGGAACTTGACTGGTTAAAACACATGTTATTGTTCTGTGACTGGCTTATTTCACCTATAATGTCCTCCAATTTCATCCATGTTGTCACATATGGCAGGATTTCCTTCGTTTTAAAGGCCAAATAATATTCATTGTATGTATATGCCACATTTCTTTCATCCATTCATTCATTCATCAGTGGATCACACATAGGCCAACATTGTGACTATAGTCAAAATACATGCTGTTTTGTTTCATTTTTATGGATTGGAATAGAGTGTCGCATGGGGTGGGGGCGGGGAGGGTTCCAGACACAGATCACCTTGGCTCCAGTTCTACCTCAGGTGCTTCCAACTATGGTGACACCAGCCAAAGTATTTAACCTCTTTAATGTTCAGATGTGGGATTTGTAAAATGCAAAACAGTTTAACACCAGGTCCATGGGACTATTGTGAGGCTAAGTGAGATAATGGGACACTATCTTTGTAGTAACTACAAAGAGAATAACACCTCCTACTCGCAGAAACAGCTATTTGTCTCCTCCCCCAGCTGGCTGCTCCCAGTTAGGTATCACAGAATTGTTTTGTGTGTAACACACAGGGGGAGGATAATCCATTTGACTGTGTAATTACTTATTCTGATAAAAATAGCTAGCCTGTAATTTCAGAATCCTGTTTTATTACCTACATTATCCTCTTCCTCAGGAAAATAAAAAGCCAATAATCCATTTAGAAGACACAACCATCACCTAAAATTGTTTTTACAGGTATTCAGTGATTTCGATAGTTCAAAGGGAAGGTAGATGTCACTGCCAGACTATTATTTTGTATCTCAGATCTCTTACTTTATCCCTCGTACACCTTCCTGGGATTTCTAATTTCTATTTTGAAAAATGAATTTTACGGTGTGGAAGTTGCTCCTATAAAACCATGAAGGTGAAACAGCATAGTGTGTCATTACAAAAGAATTGGTCCTGGCCACGCTGCTAGCATCTGTGTGATATTAGGAAACATACTCCATCTCCCCAAGTTTCCATTTCCTGAATGGACCGTTACATCAGCTAGAAGTGTTTCAATTTCAGGTGATGAAAAGCCACAGTAACATAAGCAAAGAAGGATTTTTATTTCCACGTGAAACTTTATAGTGCTGGGACAACTCTGTTTTTGATCATTGCTTGATTAAGAACTCAAACGATGTTATAGAACCCAGTTACTACCTCTCAGCTGCTCTTTCCTTATGTGATGTGTTGCTGTAACACCCCCCTTCTTCTTTGTACCATAGCTGTCTCTGCTCAATATCTAACATCTTTGAACCAGAAATCTTGTAGGAAATACCCACCTTGATGCAAGGAATTCCAGCAAAGCCCACTGGCACATCATCAGCTCTGATGGAGTGTTATCACCATTCCAAACCAACAACTGAGGCCTGGGGAATGACGTATGCCATTTGCACCCATATATAGGCACCCCTGATTTACAGTCAGGCCTATTCAAATATTATAAACTCTGCGTGGGGTGGAGACTGGCTCCTCAGGGGGTACATGCATGCTAGGTGAGAAAAATCAGAGTCCATGCTAAGTTAGGTCCCTTTGGAGCCCCCATATTTTACCAATTCAATTCATTCTCTTTTGATTGTAATAAACTAATAACAAATTATGAATAACATGTCCGAAAAGGGTTAGTGCATCAACACTGTACTAATCTGAAGAACTAAAAATAGAATCTTGGTATCCATAGGTGATGGAAAATAGCTTAGTTCTGTATCATATTTTTCTATTCCTGACCCTTGCTTTTTTTTAGTTTTTAAATTATTATTCCATTTAGTTATTACTTGAATTCAAAGCAATAAATCCTCTATAATCATAAGCAAAAACTTAAAATTCTAGCCATAAAAAATAACTTGAAAATTTACAAAGCTCTTTTCCCTTATGTCACTAGAATATTACTACTAATTTTTTAAACATTTGGGCCTTTGCATTATTTATATGGTAGTATGAAAGCAGATTTGATTTACTGGAAAAGTACTATTTAAAATAATTGTACCGATGGATAAATTTAGAAATCCTATATAGAAATATTAACAAAAAATAAGCTTACTTAAAAGAATACATGATCAAAGAAAATAGAATAATGAGGGAACTAAAATTTTTAATGGATTCATAAAACAAGTATTTATTCAGCAGTTGGATATATATTTATTACCTCTTTTTTCTGGAACTTCATAATGTATGGATATTATGTACACCCAACTTTTGACTATTTAATGGGATCAGATTTGTCATAATGTTTTGAATGAATACATCTTATAGACAAGTGGTAATACAATATCAAACCAATGAAGAAAAATACATCTGAGACTATGGGTTTATCATAAGCAAAGGTAACTCATTGGGCAATAAGTCATTGCCAGCCTCTTTCAGAGACTCCCTTATTTGAATGAGCTATTGTTAAATCCCAGAAAAATTTTTCTAGCAAGAATTATGGTTTCTACAGCACCACATATATTATCGATTAACATCTATTAAACAGTTTGAACACATTGTAAAGCTAGTCAAGACTGATGAAGCCCAAGATTTATTTAATATAAAAGATTTGTATTTACTTGCCTATCCTAAAGCATTCCCCCCTATAATTCAGCATTTTTCATTACTCTTTGAGCCTCAATGGTTATTTAATATTTATGTTTAAAAATATTAAATGGACACACATGTTTGAGTTGAAATTCCTGTATCAGAAAGATGCAGTGAGATGCAGACATGTATACCATGGGTCCATGAAACATTATACCGTGGTTTCAACATTCAGTATTCAAAGGAATTTGATTCTATTTAAGCGTGTTTAACTTTACAAGATAAGGTGAAAGAAGTGCAATTCAGTCCCAAAAATATATTGAATGCCTAGCAGGTGATGATTGCCAAGATAGGTACTGAAAGGCTGCAGAAGTAAGACACAGAAATCACCTTCAGGAAGTCATGGCATCTACCAACAGCATAAGGGATAGAACAGAGCGATGAGCCACTAGTTTTGATGGCACAATTTGTGAATTGAACAGAGTTAATGAACTGGTTGTTTTACAACCATTCCTGGCTAAGGTAGCAAATGATGGTCTAAATAAAGCCCAGGCTCCATTTTCCAAGCCATACGTGCTGATGTGGAGATGTGCCCCATAGAAAAAAAAGACACCTTTTATTACTGACCGAAGGCACTGACCCATTAATCAAGCCATGCATTCCCGAAGCTGTGTACACCCATAAGGCCATTTCCTCAAATTCATACAAAGGCACCTGTAGAAGCTAGAATTTAAGTTCCAGAGGGGCAAAAGTCTTTCTTTATTCGATATATGTCTCAATCATCTGGAACAGTACTGGCACATAATGAGCACTCAATAAATACTTGTTAGATCTTATTGACCAGAATAGTGGCAGCCTGGGGGAGATTGTATTAATTGGGGAATTCAGTAGTTTTAAAATTTTTCTCTTAGACAAATTTCTATTTTTATTTTTGTCCTCAATTTTCTACCATCATTTTCCCACAGAAGCTTTGACTAATGGATTGAGATAGTCCACATTGAACAATGAGAAAAATCCATTGTAAAATATGGAAATCAGTTCTAAAATATTGAAAAATTCTTTTGAAATATTGAAAGTATCTAGTCCTAGATTCAGTTAACCTTTTCTTAGTAATGACTAAGCAATAAGGGGCCCCAAGAAAGAGAATAAATTGAAGGCGTGATACATAGTCTTTATCAGCAGTAATTGAGAGATACTAAAATTCATCTCTTAAATTTTTTCCATAATTGACGTGCTTTAGTCTTAAAGAACATAAAGCAAGGAATTAAGGTGAAAAAGCTTTGACTCACATTTTTCACGTTTCTCTCTTTTGTTGTAACATTAACTTGTAAGTGGGGAAAAAAACCATAATGAATCAAAGTACTATTCTTTAAGTAAATATTTACTAGTAGCATTTCTTCTTTTGGCAAAATGGGTATTTAATATATGACAAACTAATCATCTGAAAAGCGTCAATAAGAAAAAAGTATTTAAAATAAAAATGTTTTCATATGGGGATTATACAGGTTTTGTTTGAAAATAGTTGTTAAGTTAATGAACTGGTTATTTTATAAGCAATTATTAACCTGTTTAACAGGAGCACATGATTCGAGAGGATGCCAAGGGTCTGACGCTAAGACAGTGCACCATAATGGAGGTGGTCCTGGCGACCATCAAGGTAAGGTTACAGTGCCTCTGGATATGCGTCGGAATCCCCCGGGTGCCCTCAGCGAAAGGTACCCCAGATGCATCTCTGTAGAGCTGTGCCATCCACGGGCAGTTGTATACATGAACTCCTGAAGTGTGTCCAGTTATCCCGTATCGCCTTATTACATCCATATGACCGCCCTTTTATTTGCCTCCTTTGTCTATGTCTAAAAAATGTGTGTGAAACCTATCTTGTAACATGTTATCAAAGAAAGACATGGATTATTCCCAAAGCCCACTTACACAGAAGCCTCATGGGATTGGAGGTTGACAGAATTTCTTTTTATGTGCTCTATACTTGTTGAAATGGTTTTCAAAAGATCATTAATCCCCTCTCTCTTAGTGCAATAATTTAATTTTCTGCTCAAAACTCAAAGGCATTGTGCCGTGTGCATCAATTTTTCATAGCCAAAGGCTGACCAAAAGTGGTAGTGTGGGCTAGATGTGGGGAGATCTCAAAATTTACACTTAGAATTCTTTGTTTTCATAGATCCCTTATATATTTATGTACATGGATTTTGTACATATATGTTAAAGTTTGTTAAAGTGAAAAATCAATTTAAACTGCGCCCAATGTCCCGTCACTTCACTGTAGGAAGCATCTATTATTCAGGATGAGTGAACAGTGCAGCCGAGTGTCAGCTACCAGGAGCTGTTTTCAGAGCACAGGATAGTCTCGCTGGAATGGAACAGACTTTATAACTCATTAGAACAGAGATCTACCTGTCTAACAATTGGACACCTTCACAAAACTACCACCTCATGGCTTTTGTTTTGCAGGATCAGCATTCAATAAGAGGCCATTTTTTTACTGCTTTAATGTCAAAAACTGCAAAATGAAATCAGTGAGGTGAAAGCTTTGTGACACCTGGTGGAAGCTGGGGAGTGAGAATTTAGGCTGTGATACTATAGAAATAAAGGTTCTAAAGAAACAGCAAGAGTATTGTCTGCAAGTATGGAAATTTTACAAAATAATTTTCAGAAGAAATGGAAAAATGTGAATAAGAGTGATGGCAGTGCTAAGAGCTAGTCATAGGAAAATGCCAGTAGAAAAAAAGAAAGAAAGAAAGAACTCTGCAGTGCACCACGAAGAGGGTGGGAGGGGAGTAAAATCTATAGAATCTAATCCTTTATGGATTTTTTTAGGTCAATGTATGACTTTAAGAGAGAAAGGAAAATGTGTTCTGTGAAAAGGACTGACATTCATTACCAGACCTGGCTCCTGCCCACAACCCTAATATTTCTCTAATTCTTCGTGGTCAGGACACTTGACCAACACCTGTAGGCTGAACTCTGCCCAAACTCTGGGACAACTTTGACCCCTACAAATCTACATCTTGACAACTCAACTATCCCATCTTCCTGTCTGGGTCACCTGTGATGATGTTTTGATTCAGCCTCAGCCACCAAATACTTGCCTTGCTCTTTCGGACTTCTCTGACAGCCACGATTGAATAAAAGGGTCTGTGTCGTTATCTTGTTATTTTAGGACTAGAGTCTGACCCTGGTCCTCCTGAGCCTCAGAGTCTGAGGTCACGTCTCCAGTCCTCCTATTCCCCACCTTCTTCCCTGCCACCTCTTTCTCGGGGGTCTCCGTGCTAGGCTTGCTATTAGACTCTTATCCCTGTGCCCTGCCCATCTGCCAGGTCATTCCCCTGATACCTGCCCTGTCATCAGTTAGCCAAAGCTAGGACTCCCTTTATCTTGTCTGCAGCTGATATCTGTACCTGCTGACGGTCATAGCAAGCACTACTTCTCATGTTTACTACAAAGGGACGCAGGAGAAAGAAGAAGACTACTTAAAATTATTGTAACCAAAGTTGTAACCCTAACGTCTGCCTGGAGCCCAGCAAAAGGAATACCATAAGGCAAGCAGGGACCCCAGGAGGAAGATGTTCTTAGAAGCAGCAGATGCTAGCCAGACTAACACGCAGAGGCTGCCAAAGAGATGAACCTTTATTTCTCGTTAGTTCAATGTAAGCCAATAAGCTGGGAATAAGAAAAGAAGAAGGAGAATGCTGTGGAGTTTGTGGGGTATAGATTAAAATCGTGTTTTTAATTTTTTTCAAATATCTTTCAGATTCACCTTGCCTGATCCTTAAAAATATCCTGGGTGGTAGATAGGTCAAGATTGAGGATTCACATTTTATAGATGAGAAAACAGAGGCTAAAAGGGTTTAAATTATTTGTCTAAGGACACCAACCTGCTAGTAATTGGCAGAGCAGAGAAAAATCTCCAAACTCTATAGTCAATGTCCTTGCTTCTATGTCACACTATTTCCCTAAATGTTAACAAAGTGTAGATAAAATGTAGCAAGCCAAAACGGATATTTTTTCAGAGTAATTAATGATTTCTAAGTTAAAATATATTTCAATTATTAAATTATTTTCTAATTATCTAAAAATAATTTAAAATATTTCAATGTCTATGCAAGTATTAATACAAAATATTAACTCTCTTAAATAATAAAAAAATTGTATTTTAAATATACTTTTATTGATGGCAGAGAGGAAGGGAGAGGGAGCGAGAGAGATAAAAACATCAGTGATAAAAGAGAATCATTGATTGGCTGCCTCCTGCATACCCCCTACTGGGGATTGAGCTCACAACCTAGGCATGTGCTCTTACCAGAAATCGAAGAAACCTGACCTCCTGGTTCATGGGTCGACACTCAACCACTAAGCCACAGGGCCTGGGCTGGAAATTTTCTAATATCAGTCACATGCAGTTTTAATTATATGCCAGAGGTTAGAATATGGTACAAGTAACAGAAGTTATAATGATATGCTGCAGGTAGCATGTTTGGGCTTTGAGACATTCCATTACCTGTCAACACAGCTAAATCAATAGCATTTGAAGATAAAAGTAGCCAGCCAGCTATGAGGCAGACAGCCAACAACTTAATCAGTATGTGCAAGCTAATAGTCCAGTTGGGAAACCCTAGTCTGAAAGGGTCCTTGTTGAGCTTTTGAGTCACAGACCACATGGCAGAAGACTCAGGACTGCTGTAGGATTCCCTGAAATGTGGGTTTCTTTCAAAGATAAACTGGAGACATTTTTCCAGCAGCAGATACTGGACCTGAGCATGAATCTCCAGGCTTAAGGAAATTCTTAAATCTTGAACATTCCTCAAGTTATTTTATGATGAAGTTTTAAATACTCAGAAAAAAAGAAAAGAAAAAAAACAAAAAACTGGCTGCTTTTATTTTTCCCACCTTTCCAATTCCCGTGGGACACTTGTCATTTGGACCCGACATGACTCTGCAATGTGTGCTGCAGGTGTGGTTGACTTCATGCAGTGGCGATACGGGGGTTTAACAATAGCAAACATGGGGATCAGGGCCCCTAGGAATCTGCATTTCTTGGTATAAAGAAAAGAATTTAGACTAAATATGAATATCTATGCAAATAGAGTTTTGGAACATACTTGCTCATTTAATACTAGATAACACCATTTCTGCCACTCAGGATTCCAGACAAATCGCGAGATATGCAATGTTATGCCTGAGGCTGTAACCCTGACTAAGGTCTTACCCTATCCTGTTACCTGTTTTTCACATGGCAATTTGGTGGCTGCTTCTCAGCATCTTCTTTTTTATCATTATGATTCTAGTTTTTGAATTATTTAAAATCCTTATGAGAAGAGCACATGCCTTACCTAGTTTGGAGCATCATAATTAAAAAATTATTACCAGTATTTGAAGGCTTACTGCATATAGCAAGTACGGTAAGCAATGAAGAGGTGTCATAAGTTATGAGACCTTGCTCTTAACTTATGAACAAAAACATCTACAATTGATAAAAGAGATGTGGAAAAAGTGGTTAGGGATGCAGAAAGGGTGATAAATTCTTCGTGGGTACCTAGGGAAAAGCTTCCTAGAGAAACAAATTTGGAGTTTAGAAGATAAATTGGGGAAAAACAAGGGGAAAGTTGTTGCAGGCCTAGAGAAAAGCATGAGTGAAATGCGAGAAGATGTGGGTCAGCCTGAAATCTCCACATAGTCTAGTGAAGAGGACTAGGTCATGACTGGCTGCATATTATAGGGAATAAGAGAGGAACACTGGCCCTGACTGGTTTTATTCAGTGGTTAGAGCACTGGCCTGGGGACTGAAGGGTCGTGGGATTGACTCCCAGTCAAGGACACATACCTAGGATGCAGGTTTGCTCCCATCCAAAAAAGAAGAGATCAACAGAAAGAGAAACATTGGATTGGAGCCAAAATACTAAGGCTTAAGCATCAAAGTAAAGAATCTGAATTTCTGACCTGTTATGGAAAAAAGGAATCCAGTTGTAGTAGAAAATGATTTTGAAATATCTATCAAATAATTTTCTTAAACCTCGGCAGTTAAAGTCAGGTTATTATTATATCTAAGTTTACAAGATGGCAAGATAAACTGTCTGCCAGAGTTTACCAAAATCATGATTCAGGTATTGTAAGGAAAAAAAATGATGATGGAAAATCACTACCAAAATAGTATATGTAACGAAAAAGTAAATACTTCCTGCAAATTCGTGAAGAAACATTAGCATGTTCCCTCCAGTCAGTAAAAATAGACTGTGAAAGATCTTCAAATATGTGACAAACATGAAGAGCTGAAGAATTTAGAAAGGTTTTAATTGGGATTATAAAAGGAATGTCTTGCTAAGCATGCAGGCAATATTTATATTGATTTTTTTTTTAATTTAGCAGTACTATTTTTCACCCTCACAAATTACAATCAGGTCTGAAGTGGTTTATTTTTTGCAGTTTCATGCAGAACATACACACACAAAAAGGAAAAATATCTCTAGATACTTATCAAGAAAAAGGAAGTGATACTTTAGTCATAATTCTTTTCATTCAGATATAATATCAGTGCTCCTCACCAGGCACCCTTACATTAGTGAAGTCAACATATAACTGTGAAGGATGGAAGCCTTTACAAATATCAGAAAATGAATATAAGTAAAAATGTAAATAAAATACTTG